AGGAGAACGTACAAAAACAATACTTGTTCGTTTGTTTTGTTTGTTTCTATATGCTGGTTAATGAAACTGATTATTTTAAAGGATTTACGCGTTCTACTTCAGATATGGAAAATTTGTTGAATACTTTACTTGATGATTTGCGGGATTGGAAACAAATTGTTAGTGAAGCACAACAAAACCATTACTATTTGACCTTTTTCCTAGCACAACATATCTTGAATTTTTATGATTATTTTTCTTGCAACGAAAATACTGTGACTACACACTCGAATAACAAAGAAAAACAATCAATTTTCTCGATGATTGTCAAGAATTTTTCATATAATGAAAGTATAACAAGGCTTAATATTAAAGAAGAATGTTCAGTACTCTTGAAATCTGTCAATAATAAAGCCGAACTGCCAAATATTAACTTTGATATCCTTAAAATCCCTCTTGAATCTAAAAATTATTATGATATACTTTGCAAGATTGGTACAATATTACATGATATTTTCAGTCGAATTCCTATCACGCAACGTCAAATGACAGCCGCTGTTAAGTATGAAACAACAGACGTGGTCTGTCAGGGACGTCTTTTCATAGCGACGTGTAACAATAAATTTCAAGTACCCAACATTATTATGTCTTTATATAATTCACATAATAAATGTTATCCAGAAGCATGGCAAGTTCTAATTTGTAAATCTTCTACCACGACAGAAGAACTCTTGACTTTCACAAAACGATGTTTTTTTGCCGCAAAGAATGGATACGGAGAGTACTTGTTTTGTATTGCAAATGTAGAAGTTTTGGATTTTGAGTTGCAATATCAATTGGTATCAAACATACGTTTCCTATGTCAACAAGAAAAGGAATTCTATTTGGCCTTGATCTGTTGTCTTGAAAATAATATGCATCATCATATACTCGACCAATTTTCAGAAAATATTCATGTAACTCAAGGTTTTGATACAGATTCAATGCGCAATATTTATGAAGAATTATGTCCTTATGTATGGGTAGTTTCCTCTGAGTTATCTGGACAAGGAAAGTCCAGGTGGATTGAAAACCAAAGTTTAAATCATGGATCATCACCACGAAAATTTTTAATAAGTGATGGGGTGACATTTGGAACACTTGTACATAAATTATCGGAGATCAGATTAAAAAACACAGAGAATTTGCATTTAAATATTATGTTGATAGAAAATCATTATGATGTAAACATGTTTCTGTTTGAATCTCTTTCATTTAAAATCGTAAGAGATAGAGCCAATTGCCTAAGCGTTCCATCAGCATTAATATATATAGAAATAGAATCAACCGTAAATCAAGTTTTACTCAATTCTATTCCTATTCTAGGACATTTAAAAAGAAAGCATTTGACATGGGGTATCGACAATACAATTGTTCCCCAAGATGTAAATAGTCCTATTCAAATTGTTTCCAGATATTTAGATGCATATGATCTTAATCTAATTAACACAGTTAATATCGACCTTAATGAAGAACAATTGATCCCTGAGACACGTTGCCGACAATTATTACAAAAATATTTCTTTGATAAGATTGCTCAAGATATTAAAACTTATCGTTTCCTTGAAATATTTGTTAACGTTCTTTCGGATCAATTGAAGCGAATGTCGTCTAGCGCATTTTTTCGCACTGAAACATTAACCTGGATGGAAGCAGACACTAACATCCGAAGGACATTGTTAGAAACGTTAATAAAAGTGTCCATGGATTTCGCAACTCGTTCGGTAAATACAAAGAAGAATCAATTCAGAAACTTGGCTAATGAGGACAGGAATCTAATTAACACAACCATCAAACATTGGGAAGATTTAAACCATTTACTAGTATTTTTCTTATCACAATCTCCTGATTCGATCTGTGCGCTTTATCGTTATAAAAGTAGAGTTCCGAAAAATGTTGAAGAGTTGTTGAGAAGTCAATATTTTTCAAAGAATTCCGATTTTAAATTAGATGATTATGATAAAATGTCTTCAGAAGAAATCTTGAAGAAATTGGAATGTTTAGCACGAACAACATGTGATGAGCGTGAATATGCACCATATGCGCTTTCAACAGATAATCTTTTAAAGATGGCACTGATTTTATTGCGTTCTAGGGCAAATATACCAGTAGTAATTTGCGGTGAAGCCGGATGCGGCAAGGTGATAAACTTTAAAATTCTGATTACGCATTTTAAAAAAGTTTATGAATTTAACTTATAACCCATTAACATTATATTAGACAAGTCTCATCCAATTTCTTTCAATTGTTGTCGATGTTGAATTACGAATTCTAAATCTGCATGCTGGTGTAACCAAGCAACAAATACTTGAATTTTTATCTGATGCAGAAAAAGCTGCAGAACAAAATGAAGTGTGGCTATTTTTTGATGAAATTAATACATGCAACCATATTGGTATTTTCGCAGACCTCATCGCTCATAGGTTACTCTTAGGTTTGTATATTTTCGTCCCCTCATAAGATTTATGTAAATAATTGCACGTGATAATATATAATTACATTTTTATACTGTATTCTAAAATTCAGGAAAAGAAATTCATAAAAATATTAGGCTCTTTGCAGCTTGCAATCCTTATCGTTTACGTCAAAAAGCTGATACTCAAGCTGGACTTTTAGTTGATAGATATGAGGAAAAGAACAGCCTTGTCTATCAAGTACGACCACTTCCTGATCAGATATTAGATTATGTGTGGGATTATGGTGTTTTAAAGTCTTCAGATGAAATGATTCATATAAAAATGATGACAAAAAAGTCCACGGAAAACTTAAAAAATACAAATTTATTTACAGAACTTTTATTTGAATCACAAGAATTTGTAAGGATTCATGAAGGAGCACATAGTGTTAGTTTGCGTGATATAAAAAGAGCAATAATCGTATTTGAATTTTTCCGCAAAAGTCTTGTTGACCGTCAAAATATAGCTGAAAAACTATTTAAAACAGAGAACATTGGATCTAAAATTTTACGCACAGCAACTAATCTAAAATCATATTTTGAAAAGCCAAACAATATTATAAAATCCTATATATTAGCACTAAGTCTTTGTTACCAAGTCAGATTTTTTGACCAAAAGCTACGCAATCAATATCAAGACAGAATGTGTGAAATCTTTGAAAATCATGGAGTAAAAATAAATTCTAAAATTTTTTCGGAGGTTATTCAGGATGAACAGAAAGATTTTATGAAACGCATGACGAAACCGAATATGGTTGCTGAGAACTTTGCTCTCCTTGAAAACGTACTCGCAATTACTGTATGCATATTAACACGCATTCCACTATTTATCATTGGTGCTCCGGGGTAAATCATCATTAATCATTTTGTGAGAAAGAAAATATATATATATACACTAACACTATTTGTTACTTAATGGATTAGAGCGTCAAAATCTCTAGCTATTCGTATTGTTAGTCAAAGTCTCCGTGGTAATGATTCAGATGACCCATACTTTAGAACTCTTCCACAAGTAAGCAAAATTAAACTATCAAAGTAATAATATTTTAGATCATTTCATTCGTCTATTCTCATGAATTTATTACGTACCTTTTAGATATATCTAGTTCATTATCAAGGATCATCATCTTCAACATCTGAAGGTATTATTACCGTATTCAATAAAGCAAACAAATACCAGGAAGGCAACTCAGAAGAATTTCCATTAATCACTGTTGTTTTACTTGATGAAGGTAAATATTCAATTTTCAATCCTCAATCATTTAATTTATTAATATTTTGCTATGGATACTTATAATTGATAACTTATTTTCACATGTCTTTTTCATTAGTTGGATTGGCCGAAAAAAGCCCTCATAATCCATTAAAAGTTTTACATTCTTTACTCGAGCCAAATTATCCTGCAGAACTTCCAGAAGTTGCAGTTATTGGAATAAGTAATTGGAGACTCGATAATTCTAAGTCAAGCAGAGCCTTATTAGTACAGAGGTTTGTTTTATTAAAATAAATTATTTGATAGGCTTCACGTTTTAAAAAATCAGAAGTTACTCAAATATATTATAATTATTATCTTTTTTTTTTAGGCCAAATCTTGAAAGCAAGGACTTAATTTATACGACAAAACTATTATTGGGAGAGTGCACAGAATCGCAATTTAAAGCTTTAGTTGATGCTTATCTTGAATATAGAAAAATTCAACCTATTAATAATTTTCATGGACTTCGAGATTATTATTTCTTGGTTAAAAGCCTTGGTAGCGGAGAGGTATTTATTAAATCTATAAAATTCTTTAATGGGGATATATGACTTGATCTAATTATTTCGTTTACAGGTTGCACAAATGGCATTAGCAAGGAACTTTGGAGGAACTAGTCAAATGGATGAACTTTATGAAACTCATTTTCGAAAAGTCATAAAAGCATTTCATGGTTCTATTGATAGTTTCAAGAATTATTCAATCGAAGATCTCATTAAAGCAAACCTAAAAGATAAAAACTCACGTCATTTAATGATCATTGGAAAAAGTGATTCAATTGTTAATATCTTGTCATATAAATTAAAGCAATGGAATAACGATCCTAAATTTAATGATACAAATTTGGATTTGGAACCCGTCGTTATTTATGGCAGTCAATTTCCCAATGATTTTGGTGGTGATTACCAGTATAGTGTATTAAGCCGTATTATGGTAAGATAGTTCAAATTTATAATTATACATGATTCCTGTTATGATATAATATTTGCTCATAAATTTTATTGTCTGTAGATGTGTGTGGAAGTAGGAAGACCATTAATCTTGACGGATCTTGATATTATTTATGGTATTATTCATTTACGTGTTTATTTTAGAATTTCATTCATTTATGACTTATTATTAATAGGCGCATAATTTTTTTCTTCAAAAAAATATAAAGGAAGTCTTTACGATTTATGGAACCAAAATTACATAACTGTAGGAAAGGAAGGAAGTCAAACATTTTATACACGTGTTGCATTGGGTGCTTATTCAAATCCTATGGTCTGCGTCCATGAAAATTTTCGTTGTATATTAGTTCTTGATGAAAAGAAAGTTGATTATTCGGACCCTCCACTATTAAATCGATTTGAAAAACAAAAAATGTCTATCAATGATGCAATAGACGATAACATGAAAGGGTTATTAAATAAACTTGCAGAATGGTCAAACCAGATTTCAAATATTGAAGCTGAATCAGCAAAATTCAATGAGAATGATATTTTTATTGGATTCGATAAGGAAGAAACATTGCAAAGTCTAGTAATTTACAATAGTAATGATCCAGAATTAGATGACGAAACGAAAATTTTGCACAAGTGCAAAGAAATGTTGATAGGTATAGCCATGCCGGATGGAATTGTGCGCTCAAAAAAATCGATGTTAAGTAATAAAGAAGTGGATTATTGGTATAAATTCTATTTTGAACAACAATATCATGAAAACTTCCCTGGCTATATTGAATCATTGATGGAAGATGCTAAAAATGCACAAGGCTTTAATGCAATTGTTTATACATTTTCAAGCATTAACACTGATGTTGAATCTTGCTTAAATAATATTCTAAGGTGTCAGGTTGATAAGCTCTCAACATTCAAAAGTGAGGCTCAATTCCAGTCCCGTATTAAACATTTCTGGTTAGAATCCAAAGCTGATATTTTAATTTTACAATGTGATCTGAATTCATCAAATTCAGAATGTATTAAACTTGCAAAATTTATTATTGAGCAATATAAAAATGAATTCATTGGAAGCAAATACTCTTTCGTACAGGTTAAACATGTTTGCATAATTCTTCATTTGAGAAAAGAAAATGCGACCTCTACAGTATCATCATTTAATTTCATGTGTGGATGGGACCTATTTTCTATTGAAACATTAACACCTCAAGAATTTACTATTGAAGACTATTTAGATAAAAATTTGATAAATGTTCTGGAGACGGCATATACATTCGAGAAAGTCATTGATCGTGAGTTATTATGGTGTTTGCTTTGCATGGAATTTCCACCATCCTATGAATCAGCTGATTACATTAGGCAAGTAGTTTTTTCACGCGTATCATCCACATGTACTTGAAAATAATTTTATCTTGCTATTTTATAGATCACTTGTTCAAAAAATTCCGCGTAATAAGGAATTCATGAATTGGATAAAGGAAAAAACATTTGAGTTGCTACGCGATAAACAATTCAAGGACTGGCAATTAAGCGTGGCAGTAAACAGAGAAGATTTATATCTGTATTCTTCGTTCTTAACTGCCTTACAAATGTTTATTTGTAATCAGGTTAGAAAACCTATAGCTCAACTCTTATTTGCCTTGGAAAAAGTGTCAGGGCTTTTAATTATTGATAGTGATAGATTATTAAATGAGGAAGGCTTAAATGATAATGCTACATCTAATTTATTCGATTTCTGGAAACCGATAATTATGAATACCGAAATAGTTAACGTTGAGAATATAAAGATGCCCTACATAATAAAAAACAGTTCTAATGGTTTAAAACTTCCATTTTCAATTTATTTTATGGAACAGATTAATAAATTTAAAAGCATATACCAAGATGATTTAAGGATGTTAGAAAGAGTTCCAGAAAATCTCGATAGAGAAACTGGTAATCTCAAATCACAAATTATCGACGAATGCATTGAAAGATTTTCTGAGCACGTGATTTCCATGGTCCCTGTGTTGAAAATACCACAGTTTAAATTGCAAAATGCATATTTCAATGATTTTACAACTATTATTTTGCACGGAAAAATTGACAATAGCAAAACATTACGCAGGATTATATCTCATCATATGAAGCAAGAAGTACCGGATCCCATAAGACTTCATACATTTTGGTGGGGCAATGAAGATTTAATCTTAACTGAGTTGCAATTACTTTTACTACTTCAAAGCATTTCGAAAGAAGAAATTCTCAATACAGCATTTGATGAAAGCAGTGATTTTAATATCGATAATGACTTATTAAGTCGAGTATCAGATATTATGATTAATGAACTTTTTAATATTATTGAGGATAATAATGATTTGGATGATAACAAGGGCACACTTTACTTATTTACTGGTACACGCCGTTCCCGTAGATCTTATCACAAGAGTAATTCACATCACATGCAAACTAAACTTCAAGCTTGGCAACGTGATGTCGCAAAGATTTTGTTAATTTCTTGCAGTTTGCCGAATTCATCCGACAATCAATCATTAAATGTGCTTCGAATATATAATGACTTGTCTAAATCTATCTCTTCTGCACAACTGCTTCAAATTAAGCAATACCAATATGAAATTAGCCCGTTTTCAAAGCAGTCTATTGACACAGTTTTCGAAAAGCTTGAGCAAATAGAGCAAACAGAAGTTAGATTATCTTCAAGGCAATCTTTTATTTATAGATGTTTGAACACAATTCCGCCTAAATCACCTATCCGTCGCTATCTTTATAAAAAAATATTTTCACAAGAAACATTAACGCTTGCTTTCCCTAACATTTACCTAATTTTTGAGTCCGAAAATAAAGAACTTGAAGGTTCATTGTTTTTAAGTCTTATTAATGGTTCACAGATACTAGATAGTACAAGGCGACTGCAAACCATTGAAAATATCTTATCGAAACGAAAGAACTCAGAAATGGCTGCATTATGTTGTGATGTTATTCAGACTCAGCTCTCCACAGAATATCAATTTAATGTACTATCTAAATATCTTCAGAAAGCAACAAATATTTTGATTAACAACGATTCCAAAGAATTGCAAAAAATTACTGCCATTGCTCTTTTGAAAGAATTTGCAAATGAATTTTGGAGTAACAAAGAATCAATTAATCTTGATGATTTAAATAAATGTTTGGAAATCGTACACCCTTTGATCCATTCATTCAAAATATATTTGCTAAAGTCTTTATATTTGAAAGGATTAGTGACTTATGAAATTGAACAATATTGTGATGCACTACAACAAGTTTTACCTTGGGTCAGAATTTTAAAAACTGATTCAAATAGCCGTCTTGGATTTAATCCTTATTGGTATTTTAACGAATTTAAACAAGTTGATTGTTTTTATAAAATAATTTCTTATAGTGATGAGTTAACTGCAAATAATTTGTTAAATAATATTGTTGGAGATGGTGAGATGACTCAAAAAATTTTATTAGCAGGAATGATAATATCAAATTTTTATCTCATAAGAGCATCACGTGAATTGAATCCGAATGAAAAGACTTTAATACAAAGGATTTCTAAATATCTACAATCATCTCAACTTCCAGAGAATTATAAAATGTATCTTTTAAATTTTATGACAAATAATCATCAACTATATGAACTAAAACCAAATGTTAAAAGCACTTATGTATTTATCTCGTCTGTTGCTGCTCATGTCGTAGCATTGCATATTTCAAACCCTATGAACTCATCTCCTCTAACCGGATATATGCAAGAATTATATGATCACAAAGATACTTATATAGTGACTTGTCCATCAGATGAGTTGGCTATATTAACAAATGTCATAATAGCAAATGATTCGGGAACCAGAAGGTATGTTACTTGTCGCATACTGTACTATTTAAATATATTTATGTTAACAATATATATTAAAATTTCATAGATATAAATGTAAATGCGGAAATATTTATTTTATCGGTAATTGTGGACGTCCAGATCAGATTGGTACATGTAATCAATGTAAAAACAGGATTGGCGGTTCAAATCATGTACTTAATGCGGGAAATATCGATATAGATAGAAATAGAATAGAACACTCTGTGACTATAAATGATAAAAAAGGGTATTTAATTGAAGATATATTTGACGAATTTCATTCCGTTAGGACCTTAAATCCAGCATCTTACAGAATTCTTCATCTGTTCTTACACATAATTATTGGCGTTCAAGCACATTCATCAACTACTATCGCTTTTATTAATGATCCGAATATTAATATTGCTCAATATTGCAAGAAACACATTGAAAATGATTGGAAGGCATTAAAAAGTATTTTTAATTGCGAAGATGAAACTTTGGCGTTATTCATTCATTCCATACTTTCAGATATGTCGCAAGAACCTTCTCAAAATGTTGAAAAGTTTGTATCACCAGCTCAAAGAGAATCTTGGGAAGAATATTTTAATCAACAATATGTTTTACCAAAGATTAAGAACTTTGTCGGAGCTGCTAATAATTTTCGAATAATGTTAGACAAAAATGCAGAAAAGTCTGTTGAAATTAATGAGACTATGGAAGTTAATGATCATTACAATGAGAACTATTCACCTTTACTATGGAGATTAATCGAAAAACCAGATTTAGACAACCTTAAATCTTACTGTATGTCTAATATTGAAAATAAAGATGCATTTCCATTATTATACATATTCTTAAAACATGAAAAACATCTGGATCTTATTCAACTTCTTTTACCAATTGTGAAATTTACACAAATACTGTCTTCAAGACTTTCCAATGTAATTGAAAGGCAAAGGGCACGTCATTTAACTTTTCAACAATTTATAGTAGATGAAAGCAAGGACGATGAAAGTGGAACCACTGAAGAATTTTTAAATGCGGCATTTAATAGCTTTGCGGACTCATGGAACCGTTTAACTCCTCATGTTAAACGATATCAATGTAAAGAGTTACCACAAGAAATGCCAAAAATAGATAATAAAACATCAATAATTTATGGATTATATGAACCAACTGATGAATCTTTATATCTATGCGCAACAATAGAATTCTTGGTCCAATTGCAAAACGATTTTCTAAATGATATTATAGAAGTTTCTTGTGGAACTTGCCAATCATTAAAATTTATTGAAGAATCAGACGTTCAAGCAGGCAGATATTGTCTACAATCTATAAATCTTGAAAATGTAAAATCAGAACAAATAATTAAATACGATGGCATTTCCGATGTTTTTATATATTGTCAACATGATCTTAGGCTAGGCCATGGCCGAGAAATCTATTATGATCTATACAAGATCGAAGCTAAATTGGCTCAAGAATTAGTGTATGGAAAAAGGCTGATCAAATCAAATAAAGATCAAATGCATTTGAACACGTTTATATATCACAAAGAATTATTTAGTAGATCTATGACAATATTAGAGGAAATCAAACTTTTGATACGTCAAGAACCAATTCCTGTTGATAATAAACCAGAAATATCAGAAAATCAAATGGAATTACTTTCGGCCTTAGAAATAATTATTTGTTTCTTAAAACAAACGTCTGGAGGAGATTGTGATACTTTAATTAGTGATTATATAGAAAATTGGATGAAGTTAGGTTTGAAAAAGGAAAGATGTTATAAATTATTAAGAAGAACAAGATTACAACTTAAACACATCGTAGCATTGTATGAGTTAGTTGAAGAGCACGTTGCTGATACATTAATAGCCGCCAAATGTATATCTTCAAAGTATAAGGTTGAATTAGACGAACCTATAAAGCAAATTATTTCAGAAGCAGTATATTTTGAACAAACCAATTCAGGAAAATCTGCAAAAATTTCTGCAGATGCATTCTTAATTGCTTTAAAAAGACTTATCGTAAGATATTTGTCAATTAATAGTGAAACCATTAAAGAAGATCTTCCCCTTTATGATTATATTGGAGACGATGATAATTCTCTTGGATGTTGGCCTGATTATATCTCTATGGATATTATAAAAAATAAATTCCCAACTGCTTTGTTAACTTCACATATATACAATATATACCAATTTGTTAAAGAGGTAAATATATACTTATTTTTTAGTTAATAAATACTGATATATTTAAAAAAAAAATAATCATTAATTATTATTTTAGAAAAAAAATCACAATTTTCATGAAAGTCAAACAACAAATAATGTGTGCATTTAGAGGTTTCTCTGTATATATTAGCAATTAAATATATTTTGATATTTATTTAATATTTGGATAGTTTAATACTTACTAGTAATTTTACTGGCCAATCAGAATTGAAAATATGTAAATTAATTTCAGAGGAATTTACAAATAAGTGCATAATTTTTAAAAAATATTACATATAGGGGCCCAAAATAACTGCGACGATATTCAAGCCTGTGGCTTGATCGTTATTAGCATAAGAAATGTAAGCATCGATAAATGTAGTTATTAAGTGCATAAAAAATGTAACTATCGGTTGTAAATTAGTAATTATAAATGAGAAAAGAATTTTTTTTATTAAAATTTTAATAAATTTCATTTCTTTGTATAAAATTACTTATTTTTATAACAAACCACTATGATGTCAAGTAAAGCATCAATTGGCATGACATTTACTAATATTGAAGATGTTCGTCGAGCTCTAGAGAGCCACTCTGTTGAAACTTCTTTGCCTTATAAATAATTGTGCTAGTTTAACATATGCGCGGATTTGTAGAATTGGGCCTCTAATGATCTGCAAAATATCACATGCTGATTGGGCGTAAATAAAAATCGTACCCCAAATCACATGTCAAATTTGTTGACTCACCTAAGTAGAATATTAAAACTTACGGCAAACCAATGAACCAACCTTGAAACCAATGAAAGTAATGAGAAAGAATATAACCTAGCAAAAGATAACAAAAGCCGTGTATAGCTTCTTTTGCTTAAATAGTTTATACTGTATATTTTTGTTTGCGCATTTTTAGACCTAGCTAACTTTAAATTATTCATATACATTTCGATTTAGGCAGTATATAAGTAAAGATCTAAGTGACCGAGTCTTATAGTTTTAATTTAGATAGTACTGGTACGTATGTATATGTATTTTTAAAGATCTTATAAGCCAAGTTTCAAATTTAGGTAGTATATATACATTCGTGTATTCCGGGATCTGGCTACTCTTTATTTTAAATATGTTAACACTTATTTGTATAATTTTAGGAATCTGGTAAACGAATAGTTAGTATATGAGTGGTATTTAAATTTTTGATTACAATTAGGGTTCTGTAAGTGCCAGGTATGGTGTTGAAAAAACATGTACCTGCGTGCTAGGCACTATGGTTTTTTAGCACCATGCCTGGCACTTGCAGAACCTTAATTACAATCCAATTTTAAATTCTTTAGCGTCTGCTAACAGGAAGGAACGTACCCGATCCAAAGTGAATCCCACACATGGCATGATCAATTAAAACTGAAATTATTTATATTAGTTTTAATTGATCACACCATGTGTAAGATTCACTTTGGATTGGGTACGTTTCCTCCTGTTGCATCTGCTTCATTCACATCAGCTATATTTGTTAGAAATAGTTGGATTTATATTTGTATAATCAATTGGTATTAATGTACAAGTTATCTTTTACTTTGTTTAGCTTCTATAATAAGAGATTATTCGCTATCTCGATTCTAATTAATAAAAAAAAAGTGTAAAATCAGAA